GCGACGTGCCGACCGCCCCCCCCCCCCCCCCCCCCCTTCTCCTTTCACAGGTTTACTTTAAGATCTAAGGAGGAAGCATTTTGTTACCATAGAAAAAGGAATTGTTCAGTGTCAGAATGGTTATACTCTGATATTTTCTTACAACCTAAGAGATAATGGACAGAAGAAGAAGTCAGTGTAGATGTGGATTCAAACCTCCCGCTTTAATAAGTAGGTCTCCAGAGAAAATATATCACTGTCATTAAGGAATCAAAAAAAAGTCCTTCCTTGCTGAAAATAAAATGGTAGATACCTCAGTGTGGATTCTGTTCAGCTGCATCAATACTATAAGAACAATATTTCAATTACAAGGACAGCCTGAACTTTGGTCTTTTTTTAAAACCTTACCACATAGATAAAGGTAGCACCAGGTGTCAAAGTCCTGCATTGCAAATGCCACTATGAAAATCTGTGACACACGGGACATTTCGTATGTAAGGTGCAGCCTGTGACAAGTCATAAAACTAGTGTGGTGACATCCAGGGTTAAAGCAATGTTTTGGTATTCAAGCTTACAGTTTGTAAAATATTCCACGCAATGGAAAATGTAACCAGACATTGTGAGTTCCAAGAGCCCAGCAGGACTAAATGCTCATTCTGTTTACCCTTTCTGAGAAAGTCTCATAGCCCCTTCATTCTTTGACATCACATTTTCAAAACTTTGGTGCTTTCCTGAATTGCCTGCATATTTGTCAGATAGAGTTATTAGAAACATGGGTAATAATGATGTCATACAATGGGCTATAATAAGCTTTACATATTCAGAGAAGAGCTGGTGATGGGGACAGGAGAACAGTTATCATCACAGCTATTTTCCAGAATGCAACATGATAATTTTGATTGATCTGCTCTTTTTCCTATAGGTGCGCTGGAATGATGACAATGTCATATATGAATTACAGCAGAGAGATAAATACCCAAGCTTCCCCTTTATCATTGATCAGAATGGAGATATTAATGTAACAGAGCCTCTGGACAGAGAGGAGCGAAATCAGGTAATGAAAAGTGCTTGTGTATATTAAAATAAGCATTGAAATAAAACAAAAGTAGTCAATCTGACATTGACCAAACATTTACTGTAGGTGAGAGATTGATTCACTACCAGCAAATGTTTAGTGAAAGTCACATTCACTACTTTATAAATATGCACATCAGTGTTTTCAATATCAACAACCAAAAGTGTTCATTTAACAAGTATCATGTAGGCTGTGTTCAGCCCATAGTATATATATCATGTAGGGGTTCAGCCCATAATATATATAAATTCTAACAATTGTATCTGCAGATTGCAGAAGAGGGGCAAGAAAAGAACCACATGGCATAAAAATGTTTGGTATACTGTACAGCAAATAATTCATAATATATTTATTACAAATGTTAAAGTATAACCAGGGGCATAACTAGAAATCACAGGGCCCAATAGGAAAAAAATTTATGGGGCCCCTTTGATCTCTAGTTACACCCCTTGCAGAGCCCAATTGAGATCCCACACAGCCCACCTGAGGGTGACCCTGCAGAGCCAACCATAGACTCTCTATGGTGGGCACTGCAGGGTCACCCTCAGGTGGGCTGATCACACTCCTTACCTGTCCGCATCCTCTTCCTCCACCGTCGGTTCGATTACTGGCAGTGATCTGAACAGTGGCACATTCCTCTTAACAGCCGTCAGTGACAGCCAGCAGCTTGAGATGCCAAAGCTACCCAGGCGGCCTGCAGGGCATCAGGAATGTCATGGCTGGGCCCCCCTGTGTGCCTGGGTCGCTATGGTGATTGTTACATAGTTACATAGTATTTGAGGTTGAATAAAGACATTAGTCCATCAAGTCCAACCTATTAGGATCTCATTCTAGGAGTACCTGTACCCCTGTATATTACGGTCCCTTAAGAAATCGTCCATCCAGGCAATTTGTTCGCCAAGCCCTGTGTGAGCAGTTTTTTTATGGTTAAAGAAGTTGTAAAGTTATACTCTAACCCTATGCCTTGGGGCTTTTCTTATCTCCCTTGGCCCATTGAATCATTACCTCCATTGTAAATTAATAACTAAACAACACATTGTATAGGCATTCAAAAATGTAGTTGAAATTGAAACTAGAAAAAGGGCAAAATGTAATAATGGGTGAAGTCCAGAAGAGTCAGTGGAGAAAGAAAGGCAACAAATACTTCTTCCTCGGTATCTGTATAAGATTAAAACCGTTGATATTGCTTTGTCTAAATGCTTAAAATGTTAAAGAAAAAATGGAATATGTTAGCATATTAGTTTTAAAATGTATTTATAGCAAATATACATTTTGCTGTCTGTATTCAAAAAGGTGGATTTCCCCCCCTAAGACAGTTGGTAAAAGAACATTGGAGGATTTCTCCTCACTTCTTGTTTTAGTGACAACTGTAAAATATTGGATTTCACATTATTTGTGTCGCGCTGACAAAGGTCACCAGAGAGGGAGAATATACCCATCAGGTAAACCCTCCCCTACCCTACCCATACACTTGAAAATGTAGTCCAATGACTACATATATTTTATTTCTTTTCTGTTA